GTTCCGGGGGAGAACCCCCGGACCCCCCTTCTTTTCAGCTTCCTGGAAGCACTCAGCCAGAAGTCCCGAATGCGGGTTGCCAGGAACTTGAAAGAAAGGGGGGTCCGGGGGTTCTCCCCCGGGAAGCCTTCCTCGAGGTATACATTAGGGTGACAAGGGAAGCAGGGCCAACTCACGTCCGTCAGAATTGACCCCGGTCTCGCGGATGATGCCGTGGACATAATCGCCGTCGGCGACGGCCTGGCTCAGCGTCTTGAGCATGACAGCCGCAAAGCCCTCGCCGCGGGCGTAGCCATCTGCACCCGCGTCCCACATGCGGCTGCGGCCGGTGGGCGAGAGCATGTGCAGCTTGGACTCGGAGATCATCATCTCGGGCCCGAGGATGAGGTTTGCGCCGGCGGCGCAGGCGAGCGTGGAGCAGCCTTGGCGCAGGGCTTGGACGGCCTCGTGCACGGCGACCAGACTGGACGAGCAGGCGGTGTCGATGGTCATGGAGGGGCCCGTCCAGTCGAAGACGTACGAGATGCGGTTTGCCAGGATACTCCGCGCCGTGCCGGTGGCCATATACTTGGGCATGTCCTCGGGGTCGCGCAGCAGCAGCTCGTGGTAGTCGCCCGTCATGACCCCGACGTACACGGCCGTGTCCGAGCCGTGCAGGTCTTCCAGCACGCCGCCCGCCGCCTCGAGCGCCTCGTACACCGTCTCCAGCAGCAGCCGCTGCTGCGGGTCCATGGCCTCGGCTTCGAGGGCGTTCGTCTTGAAGAACGCCGCGTCGAACTGCGCGATGTCCTCGTCTAGCGTGTAGGCCTCCTTCACGTTGAGGCAGCCGGCGCGCTCGCCGTCCGGGTCGTAGAAGGCGTCGACGTCGAACCGGTCGCTGGGGATGCGCCGCTGCACGTCGCGCTTGGCGCACAGCAGCTCCCAGAGTTTGGACGGGGTGTTGGCCCCGCCTGGGAAGCGGCAGCCCATGCCCACGATGGCGATGGGCTCGGGGGTGGGCGTGGTGGTGGTGGGTTGTGGGGGGGACATGGTGTGCGGTAGGGGTGGGTGTCTATTGTTGAAATGAGAAGACAAAGAACAAACAAGAGTATTGCGACTGGGGTATAGATATATTACAACCCGTCTGGATCTGATTCTTTGTAGTCTGGCCGAAAATCAACATATCATGAAGTACATCGTCCAGTACCACAGCCGCCCTCCGGTCGGCGACTTTGTTGGCGCCGACAGCCGAACCCCGGCCAGCCTTGCTGCCTCATAACCCCCATTGCAACTCCACTCCACACACCCATGGTAGCATTATTCTTTCCAGACAGCCAGCGACCACAATGTTCAAATTCTACCCATCCGACTTCTTCCACTTCGAGTTCCTCCGAGTGCTGGCCAGCGCGCCCGCCGGCGGGGCCGAGACGGGCGAGTGCCTGGCGGTGCTGCCGCAAGTGCCAGACGGGGACGCCGAGGCGTGGTACCGGGCGTGGACGGCGCAGGCACGGCAGGCCCAGGGGCTGGGCGACGAAGCCCTCGTCTCCGGGGACCCGGTCGCCGCCTCGGGGGCGTACCTGCGCGCCAGCAACTACTTCCGCGCCAGCGAGTTCTTCCTGCACACCCGCCCGGACGACCCGCGGCTGCTGGCGGCGATCGAGAATAGTGTCGCCGTGTTCGACCAGGGGGTGGATCTGCTGGAGACCTGCCACGTGGTGCGGGTGGAGATTCCGTACGAGAAGGGGGCGACGCTGCCGGGTAAATTGTATCTCCCCCGGTCGGAGCGCGTCGCAGCCCAACTGGAAAGCAAGAAGCTCCCGCTCATCGTGATGACGGGTGGGTTCGACTCCACGCAGGAGGAGCTGTACTTCTTCGGGCCTGCGGCCGCCCTCCCGCGCGGGTACGCGGTGCTCACCTTCGAGGGACCGGGCCAGGGGATCTGTCTCCGCCGCGACGGGCTGCGGCTGCGGCCGGACTGGGAGCAGGTCACGACTAAAGTGCTGGATGTGGTGGAGGAGCTGGCGAACGACCATCCAATCGACCTGGAGAAGGTTGCAGTCGTCGGCGCCTCGCTAGGCGGGTACCTCGCTCTGCGGGCGGCGGCGGACCCCCGTGTGAGGGCGTGTGTCTCGTGCGACGCGTGCTACGATCTGTTCGACGTGACGCGCAGTCGGATGCCCGGCTGGTTCATCAACGGGTGGCTGAGCGGGCGGCTCAGCGACGGGTTCTTCAACTGGGTGGTCGAGAAACTGGCGGGGTGGAGTTTCCAGCTGCGCTGGGAGTTCGGCCACAGCATGTGGGTGTACGGGGTGGAGACGCCAGCGGAGGTGATGCGCTGTATGCAGCAGTACCATGCCCGCGGGTATTTGCACGACATCAAATGCAGTACGTTCGTGACGGGCGCGGCGGATACGTTCTATTTTACGCCAGAGCAGAATACGCAGCCGATCTTTGAGGAGTTGGGGCATCTCCCGCCGCAGAAGAAGCGGTTGTGGATCGGGAAGGGGGTGGAGGGGGGCGGGTTGCAGGCTAAGATCGGGGCATGGGCGGTGTTTCACCAGAAGATGTTTGCATGGTTGGATGAGCAGTTTGAGATCAAGAGGGGGAAAGCTGTGTAGGGGAGTGGTGGTGGTGGTGGTGGTGGTGATTCGGTGCGTTTGTGAATGCGGTGTTGAAAGTAGCCGATTGCCCCTCGGAGCTTTAAACTATTATTTCCTAGATCACATGGTTTTCACTGTTTGGCCTTCTTCGAATAACATATTTCAATTTAACACTAATCACTACAGTTATCCTTCTATCGAATGCCGAGTCTTTTAGCCGCTCACAACTAATTTTCATGTCCTTCGGAGGTAGCCAAATCAGCAAGGAAGGTATATAATCCACTCACACCTCCCTCCCCTCAGTCCAACCCCCCCACAAATAACCAACCACCCAACACCACAATGACACCCATCGGCCGTCTGTACACCTACATGCCCAACGCGCGGATCTTGAAGGTAACCCTAAGTCCACCCCCACCTCCTCCTTCCGACCTCACAAACTCCAGATCCAAGCCGCGGCCGCACTGAACAACCTCACCCTCGACATCCCGCAACCCTTCGCCTTCGGCACCACCAACAAATCCCCCGAGTTCATCCGCAAATTCCCCACCGGCAAGGTCCCCGCCTTTGAATCTGCTGACAGCCAAATCACGCTGGTGGAATCCGACGCGATCGCGCAGTACGTGGCTGCCTCCGGGCCGGCGGCGCCGGCGCTGCTGGGCCGAAATGTCGCCGAGCAGGCGGCGGTGCGCCAGTGGATCTGCTTTGCGGAGAACGAGGTGTTCCGGAACATGATGGCGGTAGTGCTGTGGCGCGTGGGGATTCGGGAGTACGATGCGGGGGTCGATGGGGAGGGGGCCAAGGGGTTGGAGGAGGCGTTGGCTGTGTTGGAGCGGCATCTTGCAGGGGGGGGGAAGGAGTATCTCGCTACAGAGGGGGAATTGTCCCTGGCAGATTTGACTGTCGCGTCGGCGCTGTTTTGGGCGTTTATGCACTATATTGATGCGGAGATGAGGGGACGGTTTCCCTGCGTGGTGCGGTGGTATCTGAGGGTGATTGGGGCGGAGAAGGTGAAGGAGGTGTTTGGGGAGCCTGACTTTGTGGCCGTGCGGAAGGCGGCGCCTGTTGAGTGAGCTGCACCAGGTTGAGTGTTGCTGGGAAGCTGAAAGAAAGGGGGTCCGGGGGTTCTCCTCCAGAACGGTATATCCTATGACTTAGGACTGCAGTTACCAGGACGCTGAAAAAAAGGGGGGTCCGGGGGTTCTCCCCCGGAACGTGTTTCTTCCAGGTATATACTAGGGCTGAGCACCGTGTAGCCTATATGATCTGCAGTGTAACCGCAGGGAATAAATCCTTTCGGCGAGATTCAGCCTGTCCGTCATGCTATATAGACCCTATTTCAAGCACACTGTCCCTCCTTCCTGCTCCCAAATGCAACATGTCTGAACCCGATGTACACGATGTTCCAGCACAGCAGAATGCCCCTCCCAAGAAGGGCCTGCGCTTCTGGCTCATCTTCCTGGCGATCGGGATCGCGACCTTCGTGGCCGCTCTGGACACGTCGATCATCTCGACCGCCCTGCCCACCATCACCGCCGACCTGGGCTCCGAGGAACTCTACATCTGGATCATCAACACCTACCTGCTGTCTTCAACCGTCTCGTCGGCGATTGTGGGTCAGCTGTCCAACATCTTCGGGCGCCGCAGCATGACCACCCTCGCACTGCTCATCTTCGCCGTAGGCAGCGCCATCTCCGGCGCTGCCCGCGACACGGGGATGCTGCTCGCAGGCCGCACCATCCAGGGCCTCGGCGGCGGCAGCATCACCACGCTCTCCGAGGTGCTCGTGTGCGACATGGTCTCGCTGCGCGAACGGGGCGTCTACGCGGGGGTCCTGGGCGCCGCGTGGACGCTCGCCGCTGTGGTCGGGCCCATCATGGGCGGGGGGTTCACGCAGAACGTGTCGTGGCGGTGGATCTTCTACATCAACCTCCCGATCGCGGGCAGCTCGCTCTTCCTGATCGTCACCCTCCTGCGGGTGCGCAATCCCCGCTCCGACACGAGCATCCTGCGCCGTCTGCGCACCATCGACTGGGGAGGAATCACTTTACTCACCCTGGGCGTGACCGCGATCCTCCTCTCGCTGACCTGGGCGGGCACCACGCACCCGTGGTCCTCGTGGCGGACGATCGTGCCCCTCGTCCTCGGGTTTCTAGGGTTGCTCGGGTTCATCGCCTACGAGGCCCTGCCGCCCGAACCGACGATGCCACTGCGCCTTTTCCGCAACCGCACCGCCGCCACGCTGTTCGTGATGGCCTTCGTCTATAGTCTGCTGCTGTTCTGGGTGTGCTACTTCCTGCCCATCTACTTCCAGGCAGTGCTCAACGCCACCCCGACCCGCTCCGCCGTCATGCTCTTCCCGGTCGCCACCACGACCGCGCCCGCCGGCATCGTCGCAGGTATCCTGATGACCAAAACCGGCCGCTACCGCAGTTTCCAGTACATCGGCTTCGCCCTGATGACCATCGCGTGCGGCCTCTTCACCCTCCTGGACCAGTCCACGACCACCGGGCAATGGACCGGCTACCAGATCCTGTTCGGGGTGGGCACCGGCATCGTCTTCACGACCGGCCTCCCCCCGATCCTCGCCAGTCTCCCGGAAAGCGACGTCGCCACCGGCACAGCGACCTGGATCTTCATGCGGAACTTCGGCGCAATCTGGGGCACGGCCATCCCCGCGGCCGTGTTCAACACGAAAGCGAATACACTGGCGTCGCAGACGATCAATGATCCTACGGTAAGGGCGTTGCTGGTGGATGGAGGGGCGTACCAGCGGGCGACGAAGGCGTTCGTGGGTTCGTTCAAGGATCGTCCCGGGGTGATGCGGGCGATTCGGCGGCTGTACGTCCTGAGTCTCAGGGAGGTGTGGCAGGTGAGTATCGCGTTCTGTGGGGTGGGGTTTCTACTGTGCTTTTTGGTCAAGGCGTATCGGTTGCGGGAGGAGTTGAATACCGAGTATGGCATGCAGGTCGAGGAAGAGTCCAAGACACGGATCGTGGGGGAGGGGGTCGAGATGGGGATGGGTGGCCGTGTGGAGGAGGCGAGGTAGACTGTCTTCACTACAACCGGAGATTTCTTCAATTGACGGTCTGTTCAGATAGCTCGATTCACAACTAGGCAGCTGCGACGTATACTCTTGTAAGAAAGCTGTGGCCACCTATTCTTCACACAAGTATCTTGCCCTAGTTTCTATTCGGTAGTACAAATCCTAATGCATACATAGAGAAAGGCTTCCCGGGGGAGAACCCCCGGACCCCCCTTTTTTTCAACTTCCCAGTAACATCCAATCCTAATGTATACACATGGTAAGGCGTACCGGGGGAGAACCCCCGAACCCCCCTTTTTTTCAGCTTCCCAGCAATATGCAACCCTAAATCGCGGCCCACCGAACTCACCGAAACTCGCCGACACCAAAGTATGTCCATCACGGACAAACATCGATAGAAGAACCAACACCAAACTCAGACAGCACAAACTTCCCACAACCCAATACCCCACCGTACAGACAAACACCATGTCACTCGACTTCACCACCTTCCACAACATCATCGCCGGCCAGCCGCGCTCCTCCGCCACCGTCCACGCGGGCGTCTCGCCCCTCACCCGCGCCAAACTCTGGGACGTCCCGGTCGCGACCGCCCAGGACGTCGACGACGCGGTCGCCGCCGCGACATCCGCCTTCCCCCGCTGGGCGGCGGTGCCCTACACCGAGCGCACGCGGCTGCTGGGCGAGTTCGCGGATCTCTACCTCCAGCATGCAGAGGAGTTCGTGGAGCTGTTGATGGCGGAGACGGGACGGAGTGTATCCCTCCCTTACCCGCGATACCTTTTCCCAGTGTGCAGTCCCTGACAAAGACAGAAACCAGCGGCAGCGATCGAGGTGTACTGGGCGGCGGAGTGGCTGCGGTATCCCGGTGCGTATCCATCGCCTCACAAGTAGGCCAAGCTAAATCCGTCCAGCGAAATACACCCTCCCCGAAACCACGCACGAAGACGACGAGCTCGTCGCCATCACGAAATACGAGCCCCTCGGCGTGGTCGCCGCCATCTGTCCGTGGAACTGTACGTGCCGCTTCCCCCCATCTCCCACGCTTGCTGACCAGCACCAGTCCCCATCAGCCTAGGTACTTACCTCCACCACCCACCTCCACCAAATACTCACCCAGCGCAGCAATGGGCAAGATCGCCCCGGCACTAGCAACCGGCAACACCATCATCGTCAAGCCCTCGTCTGTCCCCCTCCCCCTTCCCTTGCCCAACCTCAAAAACAAACTAACAAAGAAAGACCATTCACCCCCTACACAACCCTCAAACTCATCCACCTGGCACAACAAATCTTCCCAGCAGGGATCCTCCAAGCCCTCAGCGGCGACGACACCCTCGGCCCCGCCCTCGTGCACCACCCGCACATCCACAAGATCTCCTTCACGGGGTCCACGGCCACCGGCCAGGAAATCATGCGCGGCTGCGCCGACACCATGAAGCGGTTTACGCTCGAGACGTATGCCCATCCCACATCACAAACACTGCAGATGATGGCTGACGCACGCAGCGGCGGAAATAACGTCGGGATCGTTTTCGGGGATGTCGATATCGCAGCGACTGCGGCGAAGATTGCGGGCGGGTTGTGGTTTAATGCGGGGCAGGTCTGTATTAATGCAAGGCGGTTATACGTGCATTCCTCGGTGTACGCGGAGTTTGTGCGGGAGTTGGGGAGGGTGACGGGGGTGATGGCGGGGGATATGACTGTTGTTGGGCCGGTGCAGAATGCGATGCAGTATCAGCGGATCCAGGCGGTGTTGCGGGAGTGTAAGGATTTGGGGTTGAGGTTTGTTGTTGGGGGAGAGGGGGAGGGGCGAGAGGAGGGGCTGTTTGTTCGGCCTGTTGTTTTGGATAATCCCCCGGATGAGGTTGGAATTCTGAAAGAGGAGATCTTTGGTGGGTTTTCTGCATCTACCTGGGTGGTGTGGGCTAATGGGAGTGCGATAGGGCCGATCATCTCGTGCAAACCGTTTGACGCAGTGGAGGAGGTGGTGCGCGTCGCGAACGAGAGCACGACCGGGTTGAGCGCGATTGTCTGGACCGCGGACGCAGAGCTGGCGCAGAGGGTTTCGGCCCAGTTGGACGTGGGGAATGTGTTTGTGAACGGACCGCCCAAGCCAAATGCGTACGTGCCGTTTGGCGGGCATAAGCTGAGCGGGGTGGGGGTCGAGTACGGGCTGGAGGGGTTGTTGGGGTTCTGTCAGGTCAAATCGGTGCATGTGTATAAATAGTGATGCCAGAGGGTGAATTAAGTAAATTACAGTAGTCTCAGTGTAAATCAGGATTACTCTTACTGGGAAGCTGAAAGAAAGGGGGGTCTGGGGGTTCTCCCCCAGAACGTGTTTCTTCTGAGACTTAGGGTTGCGTGTTACTGGGAGGAAAGTCTTATTCCAGGACTCAGCATTGAGCGTTACTGGGAAGTTGAAAAGAAGGGGGGTCCGGGGGTTCTCCCCCGGGAAGCCTTTTCTAGGACTTCACTGGGAATGAGTATTAGTCTACCTGGGCATTCGAACCAGTCATGCCACTGATGTTAGCAGCTGGCGGATCGGCGACTTTCAGCCATCGCCGGTAGTAACTACTTGGTATACATAGTCAACCTATTCCACTGGATAAATACCCAGCGTCCATCAGAAACACCACCCACTCCAAATAAGACAGCCATCATGGCGGGACTCCACGACATCACCGGGCTCCTCAAGCCCTACCTCTCCGGCACGAATCTTTTCTGGACGCTTCTCCTCGTCGTCTACATCATCCCCAAGCTATTCCAGTATCTGCAGCGAGTCTTCTCCCCCGTCTCGCGCATCCCCGGCTCATGGCTGCACAAACTCACGTCCTTACCACTGAAAGTCGCAATCGCCAAGGGTGAAAGGTAAACCCCTCCCCCTTCAGATCTTTTCTCCGGTATACTAACAAACCAGCCATATCTTCACCGTCGACCTGCACAAGAAGTACGGCCCCATCGTCGCCCTCTCGCCGACCATGATCTCCATCTCCGACGCCCGCGAGATCAAACGCATCGTCCACACGGAGGACTGGGCCAAGTCTGAAGCCGTGTACGGCAACTTCCGACAAGACCCGCAGCGGCCGACCCTCCTGGCCTTCACCGACAAGAAGGCCTACAGCCAGCGCAAACGGCTCGTGTCGAGCATGTTCGGCCTGCGGTACATCCGCAGCATGCAGCCACTCATGCGTGACTGCATCTCCGTCCTGATGGACGAGCTCGACAAACAATGCGAACACGGAACCACCACCGTGGACATGCAGCACATGATCCAGTCCCTGGCGGCGGACATCATCGGCGTGACGACGTTCGGGCAGACCTTTGACCTGGTCAAGAACGGGTCGCATCCGCTGCCGGACCGGCTGAAGCAGGCGCTCAAACTCTCGGGCATTCTGCAGTTCATGCCGTGGCTGACCAAAATCCCGTTCATCCCCAACCGCGACCCCTACGTCAGCTGGTTCACCAACGAGATCGTCGCAAAGCGCCGCGCGCAGATTGCCAGCCGCCAGGGTCCGCCCCGCGAGGACCTGCTACAGAAAATGATCGAGGCCGCGGACGAGAGCCCGACCTCGTCGTTCCGAGTCTCCGATATCCAGGACGAGAGCGTCGTGCTGCTCATCGCCGGCAGCGAGACCACCGCCAACGCGGAGCTGTTCACCCTCATCCACCTCCTGCGCCACCCGAGCAAGCTCGCCACCCTCTACGAAGAGATCGACCGCTGGTACCCCCGCAACGACCCCCGACCGACCGACTGCGACTACAGCATGTCCGGCATGGTCTACCTGCAGGCGTGCTTTGACGAGACCATGCGCCTGGTGCCCGGCCAGGCCACGGGAAGCCCACGCGAGTCGCGCAAGGACGAGACACTGCTGGGCTACGACATCCCCAAAGGCACAACGGTCTTCCCCACGACGCAGGAGGTGCATCTGAACGAGTCTCTGTGGCCGAACGCGACCGCGTTCCTCCCCGAGCGCTGGCTGGACGTCTACGCCAAGGGCGAGGCGAGCAGCCTCCCGTACTACCCCTTCTCGGCGGGCAGTCGCGTCTGCATTGGCAAGCACTTCGCCGCCCAGGAGATGCATCTCTCGCTGGTGTCGCTGCTCCGCCGCTTTCGCTTCGAGTATGTGCCGGGCCAGGACGAGTCGACCGTGTTCCGCATTGCGCAGCAAATGCGGGGGCAGCGGTATCTGATGACAGTGGGAAGGAGGTAACAGATGCTGTACATAGTTCAAGTTGTGGATTCTTACAGCTTCCGAATAAACGCCGCTCTGAGTACTGGAGTATACCGTCCCGGGGGAGAACCCCCGGACCCCCCTTTCTTTCAGCTTCCTGGAAACAATGAATCCTCAGTCCTAGAGTTACCGTCCCCGGGGAGAACCCCCGGACCCCCCTTTCTTTCAACTGCCCAGCTTAGATCAAATCTTATCCAGGAAATGTGAATACAGTTGTCGAATAGGACCAACCCACCGAATCTCGCCGGCCGTAACTCGCCGACCCTGTATGCTGCTCGTATATATACCATCTCCTGCTTCACCAGCACCCTCACACATCCAAACAGCCCCCACAAGATCCCTCACGTAGAACCAATCAAGCCAACATGTCCCCCGCCAAAGTCAGCGCCAACGACGTGCCCATGCACGGCAACGGGTTCTACAGCTCCAACTCGGCCCTGCAGCACTCCGCCATGCTCAACGCCCTGCCCTTGCTATCCGCAGCAGCCGCCAAGGCGAAGCAGCACGAGCAAGAGGACAACTCGCGCCCCTTCACGGTCCTTGAATTCGGCTCCGCCCACGGCAACAACTCGTACGCCCTCCCCTCCCCACCCCCATGCCATCCCATCCACAACAAACCTAACATCACAGCAAAGCCACACCCCCATAGCCACAATCCTCGAATCCCACGCCCCAGCCCCCTCCCGCGAGATCCACCTCCAATTCAACGACCGGCCCGCCAACGACTTCACCACCCTCGCCACCAACCTCACCACCATGACCTGGCCCGTCAGCAATGACATCTTCACCTCCCTCGTCCCGTCCTCCTTCTACGCCCGCGTCACCCCGCAGGCAAGCGTAGACGTGGCCTTCTCCCTCGCCGCCCTGCACCACCTCGACCGCGTCACGCCCGTGCCCCCCTCGGGCCCCATCCCGACCCACGAGGTCCGCCAAGCCGAGTTCCGCGCGCAGGCGCACGCAGACCTCCTCGCTTTCCTGTCCCACCGCGCAGCGGAGATCGTCCCGGGGGGCGGACTTGTGCTGAGCTTCGTGGGTCAAGAGATTGGCCCGAGCGGGGAGGAGATTACCAACTACGCGGGGCCGGTGGACGCGTGTCGCGACGCGATGATCGAGATGCTGCAGGCGGGTGTTCTGGCGCCGGCGGTGGCGAATGTGTTCGAGGTGCCGGCTTACAACCGGACCATGGCGGATGTGCGGCGCACGCTGGGCGAGAGGGCGGTGTTGGCGGAGTGGGATGTTGAGGAGGTGTTTGAGAGGAAGGTCGTGCATCCTGCGATTGAGGAGTTGACCTCGAGAACCAAGGCCGCGCCCGAGAACGAGGGGGAGCATGCGGAGTGGTATGCCAGGACGGTGGTGGATTGGCTGATGGCTGTTGTGGCGGGGTATTTTGTTAAGGCGGTGCGCGAGGGGATGGGGGTTACTGATGCTGAGACGGTGGATGGGTTGTTGGCCGAGTGGGTGGAGCGCACTAGGGTGCGGTTCTTGGAGGGGCATCGGAACGAGGCGGTTGAGTGCTGGTTTGTTTATGCGCGGTTGAGTCGCAAGTAGATGTAGAGGAAGCTGAAAAGAAGGGGGTCCGGGGGTTCTCCCCCGGAACGTGTTTATTCTACAACTTCTTAGAATTACGTGTTACCAGGAAGCTGAAAAGAAGGGGGGTCCGGGGGTTCTCCCCCGGAAAGCCTTACTCTGTGTATCAATTAGGGTTGAGTTTTACTAGGGAGGTGCAGAGGAGGTTAACATATGAACCGATCGATATCCATGTTGCATTACTGAGTAGAGCTAGTGGCCTACGTAGCCTCACAGCCTGCGACAGCACGATCGGAGTGAAACGCACTGCCTCATCCACAAGGCACACATCTATTGCAGTCAACCGTCCAGTCTCTACACTCCACTCTTTTGGGTGGGTTTGCGGGTCCCACCGAGCGCGACCAGCGTCGGCGCAGTCGGCGATATTTCCCCGGGACTCGGAGACATAGTATACTCGCCGGTTAACCACCAACACACACCAACCCACCAACGCCATCCATCGTGGAGGCAAACATGCCACAACCGACCGACTCGCCGAATTGGCCCTCACCACTGCATCAACATCCTATCAACTATATTACAATCACATCGCCATGACACCGAATCTTCCCCAAGACACATCTCTTCTACAATCCTAAGCATCATGCACCGCGAGCTCAAAGAATTCTCCCACCCCCATGGCTCCACGGGCATCTACCAGGACAACCTCCAGGTAGATGTGCTCATCGTGGGCGCCGGGTTCAGCGGCATCTACATGCTGCACGAGCTGCGCAAACAGGGCCTCAAGACCGTCGTCTACGAGGCGGGCTCCGACCTGGGCGGCACGTGGCGGTTCAACTGCTACCCCGGAGCACGGGTCGACTCGCAGGTGCCATTATACCAGTTCTCCATCCCCGAAACCTACAAGGACTGGACCTGGTCCACCAACTACCCCGACTACAAAGAGCTGCGGGCCTACTTCGACCACGTCGACAAGGTCCTCGACATCAAGAAAGACGTCGCCTTCGGCAGCGTCGTCGTCGACGCCCAGTTCGACACCACCCAGAGCCGCTGGGTCGTCAAGACCCAGGACGGCCGCACCGCGTACGCCAAGTACTTCATCGCCGCGGCGGGCGTCTCGTCCAAGCGTTACATCCCCGAGTGGGAGGGGGTCGAGAATTTCAAGGGCCCCATTCACCACACCTCCTTCTGGCCGGAGCACGAGGTCGACGTGCGCGGCAAGCGCGCCGCCATCATCGGCACCGGCGCCTCGGGCGTGCAGGTCACGCAGGCCTGGGGCCCCCAGGCGGGCCATCTGAAGGTCTTCCTGCGCTCGCCCAACTACTCCATCCCCATGCGCCGCAAGGAGCTCACCGCCGACGAGCAGAACCAGCTCAAGCCCATCTACCCGCAGCTGTTCGACCTGCGCGAGAAGACCTTCACCGGCGCGCTGGTGGATTTCAGCGAGCGCAGCGCCCTCGAGGACTCGGCGGCCGAGCGCGAGGCCTTCTACGAGCACCGCTACCACTCCGGCGGCTTCGACTTCTCCACCGCCAACTACAAGGACACGATGCTCAACCCGGTCGCCAACCGGTACCTGTACGACTTCTGGGCCAAGAAGACGCGGGCGCGGTTGAATGACGAGCGTGTCAAAAACCTGCTGGCGCCCGTCGAGCCGCCGTACTTCTTCGGCGGCAAGCGCTCCTCGCTGGAGACCGACTTCTACGAGCAGTTCAACCGCGAGACGGTCGAGCTGGTCGACGCCAAGAGCAACCCGATCGTCGGGTTCACCGAGACCGGCATCAAGATGCAGGACGGCACCGTGCACGAGGTCGACGTCGTGTGTCTGGCGACCGGGTTCGACACCACGACGGGCAGCATGATCAACCTGGGCGTGCGCAGCATCCACGGCACGACGCTGCAGGAGGACTGGTCGCAGGCGGCCGAGACGTACCTGGGGCTGACGGTGTCCGGCTACCCCAACCTGTTCCACCTGTACGGCACGCACGCGCCGACGCTGTTCAGCCAGGCCGTGACCACCATCGAGGTGCAGGGCCGCTGGATCGCCGACGCCATCAAGCAGATGGAGCGCCAGGGCATCCGCTCCATCAACCCCTCGCGCGAGGCCGCTCACGCCTGGAAGCTGCAGATCCGCGCCTTCCAGAACGCCAGCTTCTTCCCCACCGTCCATTCCACCTACATGGGCGGCTCCATCCCCGGCAAGCCCTTCGAGCTGGTCTCGTACCCAGCCGGAATGCCCATGTACGCGCGGCAGATCCGCGACGCGCTGCCCGCGTTCCCTGGCTTCGAGGTCGTGAAGGCCGGCGAGGAGAAGGTCGAGAACGCGGCGCCCGGCGGGCTGGAGGCGACGACCAACTTCTTCGAACGGTTGTTTGGGATGCCGCCTTCGTCGGCGAAGGAGGATCTTGCGAAGCAGGATAGTTAGTTGGTTAGCTACTGTACCTCACTAATGATTATGTTGTTGTTCTTGTTCAAACTGGGCCCTATCCTGTGATTTTCCTACAATCATGCAATATGGATGAATATTGGCATATCGAAATGACTTGTTTAGTCCTTCCTTACACTTTCTCAGTAACACTCAACCCTGGGTCATAAATTGGGACTTCCCGGGGGAGAACCCCCGGACCCCCCTTCCTTTCAGCTTCCCAGTTACACTCAACCCGAAGTCCTAGAATAAGACTTTCCCGGGGGAGAACCCCCGGACCCCCCTTTCTTTCAACTTCCCGGTAACACACGACCCTAAGTCCAGAAATCGGTGACAGTAATCAACAATCCGTATCCAAATCTGGTGGGTCGGCCGCTGTGCAGGACAGAGTACACAACCGTCCCTCAACAACTGTCTCCGCCTCACACACTACAATGTATCATCTACATCCCCAACACACCAATTACCCCCGGCCCTGACCCTTTCTCACTCTTCTGGAACATGAAAATAAGGTAGGTAGTCAGCAGCGCGTAAGCGTATTACCAACACGACTCGACATAACATGACACGACACACCCGACAACCGCCGCCCGCCCGCCCGACCGCAGAAAACCTCCACGTGTCCTCCCGCGGAAGTAGTCCGCGACGCCCCCGAGCCCTAACTCGCCGTCTAGTGCTCGACTCAAAACTAACGCACACAAGCCTAAGCCCAGGTAGGTAGGTAGGTAGCTAGCTAGCCAGGTAAGCAGGGCATCATGCAATGACCTGGCCCGATACTGTAAGTTGCTTCGCTACGTAAGAACCCAATCCAGGGCTTAATCATATAGTATAGCGCTAGTAGTTTCGCTGCCTAGAGATCGATATTCTTGTCGGTAGACTGCGGAAGCGATCAGTTGAGTTATTGAGGGGAACCGACTACCCTATTAAAAAATAGTACAGTACCTACTCATGTATGCCGATTCGCCTCGGATTTTTCTGCCAAGGGTGGCTAGGCGTCCTGCCCATTCTCCAATCTATTGGGTATCCATAACGGGGGGAGAGCGCAAAGACGTTAGAAGAGAGTTCGGCATTGCTTTCATTCGTATCGGATCGAGTAACGATCCTTGGCGATACCTATCGCGACAGCTCTAGCTACTCACTAATTAAAACGTGAAATGACAGTGCCGACATACCCATTGCCGTCGCCATAGTCTGGTCTGGATCTGGACTGGATCCTGCCCGGGCTAGGCTGAGCCAGAGCCTCGAGGCGTACCATATCCGGGGTGGCATGATGCAGAAAGAAGACGAGGCTGACCGACCGTCGGGAGCGCGAAAACTTAAGTACCCAGACTGTGCGAAATGCTGATCCTTCCGATCCTGCATCCTTCATGATGTCGTGGATCAGGGATGAGGCCATAGTCTTGTTGCGGGAGGATTGACTTCGTCCCCGCTGGGCGATACGAGGGCCAAAACGGTATGCCCTGGCAACGGAAAGGAAGATTATGGTGATGGTAAGGGGAAGGGGTTGGTGGGGTCATGTGATTGCTAAGCTTTTTCGGGGCTTGGTATTGTATCTGATTCTCCATTGACAACAGATTGGTGCCATCTGGTGTATTGTGCTTGGAATGACTAGGAGAAGGAGATGGTGTGTTCCATGAAGAGAACTCAAAGCAGTAAGAGTATACTTTAACACTTCCATCTATCGGAGCAAATTCCCCCCCCGACACCCGCCGAGAGCATCGCGACCCATCGCCCCTCCGGCACGGCTGATAGGCCAAAACCCGCCGATCGGCCGGCTGGCGGGGCACTAGCGGGCGTTTTTTTTTTTTTATGTGAAGAGGAGTCGAGTCGAGACTGCCTTATTTTACTTGAATGTTGACACAAAGCCGGGCTAGTCGTGAATCCTGATGCTGCAAGGGCTTGATCGTCCTTGTTTCCCCAGTTAGCCAACGTGGGGGCGGAGTTCTCCTCACTCCTCCTCCTCCTCTTCTTCTGCAGTGCCATGTAGACATGGAACAATGCAATAGCATCGTCGACTCGTCTAGCTAGACAATACCGAACAGCCCTAGCCTACTTACCACTGGGTACACTACTCATCTAATTTAGTTCCTCATGCTGCAGAATAGCATACTCATGGTATAGTCAACTCCTTGGGGCCAAAACTCATCCTTCCCTCATTACTCCACGCCATCAGTCCCGGTTATCCGATCCCCACTGCCCCCCTCCAATGATCCTCATGTATCACACCCTAACAAGGGCAGGGAATCTGAATCTGCAACCCGTACGTCACCACGGGCACATGGCTTAGTGCAGCACATGGCAACAACCCTGCAACCGGTGCTATCTCGCCAATCCTTCCACGTCAACATGCCACCTCCCTGAAGGATTGACCTTTTCCTTGCCTTGCACCTCAGTCGGCATGGGGTTAGTGCCAAATCGTTCCCTGACTAGTCAGTGTTGCGAATCGCATGTTGCAGGTCGCACCGATAACGAACTCTCTAATCGCCAATCTTGAGATTGGCCCTTGCCCCTCCCTGACAAGGCTGTCGTTGGTTACACCGTCCTACACTGCCCACTTCTGCTGTTTCGGATGGAGATTATGCGAGGTCGTATGTGTCAGAACCTCTGCAGCGCTGGCAGAGTGGAGCCAGGGTCGATGTACTGCACTGCACTTGCACCGCCGACATCAGATCATGTCCACTGCAGAGCCTCCTCGCCCGCAAGTCTGCAGTCTTGGGAACACCACCTCGATCGCAAACCTCTTGCATCCAAGCGGCAGTTAATTTTGCCCAGGTTGGGCCATTTCCGGTATCCACCAACCACAGACCGCAGGATTCATCGTGCGCATCTCATCTGATGGCCGGCCTGATCCATCGTCAATCTTCACTGAAACGCACCCTTTCATTCGGTTCCAGATCATGCAAACCCCCCCCCCCCCCCCCCAGCGAGTCAGTGTTGCATGTGGAGACTAGACCTGCAGCAGGATCTTGATGCCTGTGCAGCCACGAGCGGTGCCAAAAGTACTCAGCAGGCGACGCGGCTGCTGCCTCGCTGCAGGGAGGTACGGTACATAGATAAAAGCACCGAATGTACCCGGAGAGGTAGATTCGTTGCGCCGCTGCGATAAATACCTTTTCTGCACTGTCCCCGTTCAGTCATACTCTTAGTATCATGTCACCGACGATGAGTTTGGCGGCGTCGCAACCACAGCAGCCGCAGCCTACGCCTTCAAGTAAAGCCCCGCTCACCCGCCAGGCGTGCAACCGCTGCCACGCCTCAAAGCTGAAATGTCTTCGTCCGCCCGGGGTCACCACCAGTAAAGCATGTATCCGCTGCATCAAGGCAGATGCCGAGTGTGTCTACGACCCGCCCCAACGATTCGGTCGGCCGCGACAGAAAAGCCGGCCTCAGCCCGAGTCAGGGCCCCCCCGCATTGAAGCCCGAGAGCCCGAGGTCACCGATCCTCGACGGGCTCGTCATGGATCGACGATCGGGACCCGCTGGGAGAGTATCGAGAGAGAGAGCAGCGGTAGCCTCGCACCTTCGTCCGCTGCCGAGAGCCCCTACACAGCGGCGGGGAGCCCAGACAATCGTAGTAGCACCGCCGTCGCCGCAGCCCCGTTGGCTGGGATGGATTACGCCTCATCACACTTCCCCGAGCCCTTGGATAGCGAACGCACCAGCGAGCTCCTCGATGCATTCCAGTCCGAGTCCATGCAGCTGGATGTTGGTGAGACCTTTTCCCTCACTCCGCATCCCCCATGCACGTAACACGCGGCTGACGGATTTCGGCATGACACAGATTCATACTGGGGAGAACCCGGTCCGATGATGCCACCCGCCGAAACCGTCCCATATTCGGATCTTCTGACCGGTCCAATCGATCTTGACTTCACCATCTCCGACCAGGACCATCGAGCCGAGATCCACAAGCATGCCCTCGATCCTGCCCTCGCTGCGGCGGAGACAGAGTCCACCGCCGACGACTACGTGCTCGATCTCGTCCAGCTGCAGGCCAGCGTGAACCAGAACAATCGCGAATTGGCGGCGATGATCCGCAAGGCCCAGTCGGCACTTGGCGTGGTGGAAGGACAGGTAGGACAGGCTCCGCCGATCCCCGATTCCCAGTTCAAGACCCATCTGCAGCGTAATCTGAAGGCATCCGAGCAGACGCTGGATGTCCTGCACCGCATCAATTCCCAGTTTGCGCCGGGATTATGCGAGACGCGCCCGCCTTCTCGATCATACGGGCTAGATCCTACCCTGGATCGACTGTACGCCGATTGTGTGAGCCAAGATCATTCGTTTGGGGCTGGGGGAGACCAGTTGGGGCTGCGCGCGACGACGCCTCCAGGGGTCTCGGCCGCCGACCCCCAACACAGTATCCTCGCCTTCCTTGTGCTGACGACCTACCTCCGTCTGCTGCATAACTTCGATGCCCTCATTTCCATCCTGCAGGACCGTCTGCGGTGTTCCGCCAGTCTCGACCCGCGGCGACCGCTGCATCTCAGCGAAGACAGCTCCGCGTCCGACAGCAGCTCTAACCCGCTCCTCGACGTGTCGCTCGGATCGTTCTCCTTCTCCTCCTCATCCGCGCGGTCGTTGCAGGCCATGCTCAACGTGCAGATGATCAACACCGTTCTCACTAAAATCAAATCCTCCACCCAGCGGATGTTGCTCGGTCACGATTACCTTCCACCGTCCTCTTGCTCCTCCGCCGCATCTACCTCTTCCACTGCCTCCACCTCTTGCTCCACGAGAGCACCGCCCACCTCAGCAACCGGGGGACCCCACCACCCAGCCAGCGCGGGCTCCATCTTCTTCCATCACGCACACTCCCACTCCCACTCCTCCTCCGACCACCCCTTTTCTCAGCCGGAAGGTAGAGGCTATGCTCTTTACAACCACGCATTCCACCCTCCTCCCCCATCGCGGCACACGCACAACTACCCCACTTCAGAGACCATCACCCCACCATCATCCGTCCTCGGCGGGGGAGCAGGGACCACCCCACCACCTTTCGTGTCGGGCGTCGACCACGTCGTCCGCCGGGCCTTGGCCGAGGTGCAGGAGCTGGAGTTGAGTTTGCGCAACCGCGCGCGGGCGATCCAGCAGTGGAGTGAGGAGGGGTTTTAGCCCCACTTCGTGGGTTTGATGAAGAGATGACTTCT